CCTTTAATGATTTTCACTTTTAATCTCTCAACTACACTTAAGAGGTTGGATCTGACAATTGTGGTTAGAAATTAAACTTCACAACTCAGCAATCTTAAAAGAAATTTATATGGCAGATATTAGATTGGACTGAAGTGTTTAATACTATCTAATTCACGTTAGCAAACATGTCATCACACTTATAAAGTCTACAACATTAACCAATTTGCTCATAATTTGATGATAAATATACCTTTGACGTGTAGTGCAAGATATGATTTGGATGGTAGAATGAGTGAAATTGTCTTTTTCTTTTTCAATATTTTAGTCCAACAAATAAAATGCCATTAACATAAAAAGCTCAAATGTATTTGAAAATTAGGTAAGTAAATGATGTGACGTCGTTAATTACGAATTTTCCGACCATGGTATGTAGTATCATCAACTAAAAACGTACTTTACGTAACACAGACGTGTTACACATGGTCTTTATAGCATTTTGCGAGCATAGGGCATTATTTTTCAAATGTATCAAATCAAAGCTAGTAAAGAACTCACAAGTTTTAATAGGAAAACAATAATTTATGCAATGGTTGACAAAAACGATCCAACCTTATAAGAACGCATCGTTTGGTTAGAACGGAATGAAGATAGGCCCAAATGTATATTAAAAATGTGTTTGATGAATATTATTGAGAAAAAAAATATTTTAAATAGTGATATGATGAGAAATATGTGATTAAAAAAAAAGAAAAATTATTGATATGATGGAAAATATTATTTTATTGAAGAATGCGAGGTTGAAAATGAGTTTTAAAATAATGTATTTTGAAAGAATGTGTACAAAACTTCCCTTCCCTTTCAAACAAAAATCAACAAAAGAAAACCTAATTAATCGTTTTCAAATTCAGAATGAAGATTTATCCTGTTCAGGTCCAAAACTTGTACAGAGTACAATGTCCATTGACTTTGACTTTTCAGATTTTTGCCCACAAAAAGACGGTGATCAAAGCCCTGTTGAAGAGGGAAGTGGAAACGTGGCAGAAATCCATTTCATCAGGCCAACGATATAGAACTCCCGTGATATTGATAAATACCACCTCAGTTTCTCTCTCTTCATATGCATACATTCATTCTCTCTCTGCATGCTTAGAGCTGCCTTCTCATTTTCATGCTATTTTCTGCTGTTTAAATTCAATAAAATCATGATTTTTTTTAGGAAACTTTGAGGTTTTAACATATCCACATTTCATTTTAAACTTTTTCATCTTTAAATTTATGATCCTGTAAAAGGCCATTATTGGCCGGAAATGGGGAAGAAAGGAGGTGGTGGTGGTTGGTTTTCCAATCTAAAGAAGGTCTTTAAACAGTCCTCCAACGACTTGCCAGAGAAGAAGGTTAGTTCACTCGATAAATTCGGACTTCTCTATAAGAATATTTTTAATTTTTGTTTTTAAGTTTTTTCTTGTTTTTTGCATTGTCCTCATGCCCTGTTTGCTTCATTGTTACGAAAGATGATTCCCATAGTCGTTCCCAAATTTATTTGAAATCAGGCTTAATATTAAAGCATGGTGTTCCGTCTTAAAAAGATCTATATTTTTATTTTTATTCGACGTAGGATTTGCCCTTCTAACATGCCCATCAAGATAGTGGCTCATTTGAGCAAATCAATGTTGAAATACGTGTCATTTTTTAAGTTTTAATCAGATCGAATTGCTCGTTTTAACTCAATGAGCTCTATACGATGTTATGACTTGGGTTCCACACGGTCTTGTTTTTTTCTTCTTGAAGCAACACGATATGGTTCAATGAAACAATGCACAAGTACTAATTTTGAAAATGATATGATTTTGAGAAGGAAAATGCAGAGAAATGGCAACACGAAGCTCCAGAGGTTGTGTACCTTGAACATTTTCCTGCAGACAGTTCTCCGGATGTTACGAATGGTGAGAGCTTCTACGCATCTCCAGTGGCTGAAGATCCGAATCGTGCTCTTGCTGTTGCTGTTGCAACTGCTGCTGCTGCTGAAGCAGCCGTTGCAGCTGCTCAAGCAGCCGCTAAAGTTGTTAGATTAGCCGGATATGGACGTCATTCTAAGGAAGAAAGAGCTGCAACTTTTATACAATCATGTTACAGAGGATATCTGGTAATTTCTATCTTCCTTTTTCTCTAGATATTGTATTGGCATGATACATTAGTTTAACCGATGTAGCAGAAATTACTCAATGCTAGATTAACTGCAACTTACGCGAGGATTGATAAATAGAAGAAAAATGGGATAACCAAACACTCACAGTGTTTCGCCTCAACGAGAGACTTGCATCTGCATTGCAGCTGAATATTTTCACTTTAAAGAAGAGTACAATTTCCGCACATAAAACCACCACATTGTTGACCTCACTACGAAGGTCTATATCCTGGGTCGATAGGACAACAATTGATTGACTCCACAGTCCAAATAAAGTGCTTGGGCAAAATCGTCTAATATGAATACATTGTTCAAGTCTTTGTGACACCAGGCACCAGACAAATTTATTACTCGTCTATTTGATAATTTTTTTTTAAAAAAATTTTGTAGGCAAGACGTGCTTTACGTGCTCTGAAGGGCCTGGTGAGGCTTCAAGCTCTAGTGAGGGGTCATAATGTGCGGAAGCAAGCGCAGATGACAATGCGATGCATGCAAGCACTAGTACGGGTGCAGGCAAGAGTCCGTGCACGTAGACTTCAATTAGCGCACAACAAGCTTCTAGAAGAAGAAGAAGAAAGATTCGGACCACGACAAAAAGAGTATGTGCAAAGAAGTCCAATCAACAAGCCGGAGACAAAAGCTTGGGAGAGAAACAGAGAAAATGAAATGAAAAGGGAGAGAGCTCTAGCCTATGCTTTTGGCTATCAGGTTTGATATTGTTATTCTCATGTTGGGTTAAGTAACTTATTTTTACACAAACTTATTTACCTATAAGTGAAGACTAAAGCTAGATTTGCCGTGGCAGCAGCAGCAACACGAACTCTTATATTCTAACCAAAATGGTGACAATGCTGAATTCTATGATCACGGGAATATCGAGCAACAGTGGGGTTGGAACTGGCTCGAGCAGTGGAAGGATTCGCAACCCTACAATGCCAAGAAAAATATTCCATGGGAAAGCTCCTATGTGACAGGTACCTCAACAGATGAGACATCATTAGGCTTTGAAAATGCAAACATAGGCCGACGTAGGGGAGTCCCAAAGGAATCGAGCCCACGTACAACTCTACAACAGCCTAGATCGAGTTTGGATCATATTCCTAGCTTCATGGTCCCAACAAAGTCTGCAAAAGCAAAAGTTCGGGGCCAGGTCCCAGTCAAACAACGAAGCCCACCGGGAACCCAGTGGAACTCTTCAACAAAAGGAGGGACAGTCACTGGGCACAGCTACATGTCGTCGAGCTCCAGTGGAGGAAAAGCAGCTTATCAGGCTCCAAGAAGCCCAAATGCAAGAGTTCATTGAAATAGTGGACAGGCTAAATGAGCATTACCTTGGGAATTACCAGATTGAGACATAATTTTGGGTCCTTGCCTAATATCCTATCGTTTGTTAATAGATTGTTTAATTTATTCAAATTTTTACTCATCTTTTCTTTAGCCTTGAGAGAAATACAATCAGTATTCCATGTAATGATGTACCAGACCATCTAATAAGGGTTGGATAATTTGTTAATTTGAGTTGTTTTGTTGAAATCTATTATAAATGAAAAAATATATAAGAAAGTGTTATATAAGAACAATGTTTTATCTAGTTTTGTCAGTAATCTAACAAACAACAGAACAGAATGATTCAAGAAGATTCATGGAATCGACCCTAAGTTTAATAGTCCTCAGACTCCGGATGATCACACAACAAATCTTAACGTGCTGCACGACGCACAAAATGTAGACGATAGGGGTGTATAGATACTTAAAGAGCAGATCAAATTTACTTATAAGCTAAACGAAATATCCTCGACTTTAGATGCAAGAGCAAAGCCACGAGATATGCACACACACACAGAGCTGAAGGGTAAATTATGCATAGAACGGTCCGCCTGAACGCCGCTCAATCTGAATGTTTGAAAGTGGTGGCAAGTACATGTAGCTTTTGTCCCACATCGATAGTGGTTAGAAAAGAGTAAGGAAATAATAGTTATAAAAAGGGAGGGAGAACACACTTTCAAAGCATCTTTGCGCTTGGGGCAATGACGCAGCTAGTGAGGTTCTAACCGAGGCGCGTCTATTGCTGGTTGAAAACTATTTCCAAACCCCCTCCTCGGCCTGGGTTCGTCCTCGGCCGTCGAGAATTTCTGGAAGGGCTTCCTTTACTGGTAAAGCCCTGCAATTCTTTACTCAAAATTTGTTCATGAGAACTATTATTTCAAATCTGTGTAACTATGTTTTAAGGGGAAAAAAAAAACAGCTAAAATCTGTGTAACTATGTTTCATTCAATCCGTATCATATCAAAACAGTCCGTAATAAACAAGAACTAAGGTTTAGATTTGTTAAAATGTTAATTAGGCACCGTTTGGTAATCATTACCAAACGGTGCCTTAATATTAATAGCTTATTAACAAGTACTAGAAATCCAATTCATGTATTTTTGAAAATTGTGACATAGTTCACTTTTCTTTGTTGAGTGCGCCCATGAAGTAAAAGTAACTCAAAACTTCACGAATAGAAAAACGAATTACGTTAATAAAAACAAAGTTCTAATTGATAAAACTAATAATCAGATCAAAGAAAGACACGTTACATTATACAATTGTCTTTTGAGCAACGGTACGTAAAAGTTCTACCAAGCTTGGAAGGTAGGCAATACACAACAGTTTTTTTTTTTTTTTTCTTAGTTAGTTTTCAGAAGGAAAATAAAAAGAAAAATAATTAAAAGGGGACCCACAGACGTCGCGTAGGTTTAGAGACCCGGCAATGTTGATAGGCGGTCGCGGGAATTTTCAGGAAGCAAGCCAAGATTTTAAAAAATCCTCATTTACTGTCCCGTTTCATTCGTTAATTTCGGGGTGGGAGGACCATGATCTCCGCCCAAATACTACTCAGGTTGGGACAATGCACGGTAGATTGGGAGTTGGGAATTTTGCCTTCACTTCGTATCATAGAGATGATAAACAATGCTGAGTTCGAATTAGGATAAAGACAATATAGTAAGCTATTGCTACTATACAGTGTTATGGTTTTTACTCACACGGCAAGACTAGTACAACGATAAAAATAAGATGCAAAAGGATAAAATCGAGCAAGTAATTTAGCAAGTTCGGAGAAAAACAGATTTAATGTAGGACAATCCATCTTCTATTAGCCACATGGAGTGAGCTTCTTGTTACCTGCACCACGAGGATTGTCATCTTTCCAGTCGTCCCATGCCCTTGCTTTCTCTTGAGCAGCATCTTCTTCTTCTTCATCCTCCTCCTCTTTGCCTGGCCTTGATTTCCGGTTATCCTTATACCATGAGGAGTTGGCTTCTTCCATAAGCTGCATATTCCTCTCTTGCCATTTATTCATTATTTCCATCTCTTTTAATCCAGCATCCTCTATGCTCATTGTTGGTAATCTGCAAATTAGTACTCAAAATTCAGCAATTAAACATCAATTGCATTTTCAGTCAGGTGGATTACTGGAAAGCACAAGGCGTGAGATACATTTTTTCTCTTTTTCAGTAATGTTTAATGCTTTTCAGTCCATCCTACCAATCATGAAACAAGGGATAGCACATTGAGCTATAGCAGTTAATATGTTAATTCTCGTTTTATTCATTTTTAATGAAACCTAGCATACCTATAATGAGGCTGGAAAACCTGAGCAGCCATTCTTTGCCGTTCGCTTGTTGGGTTTTTGGCCACAAGACTTGTTGGTCCAAAAATCATTGGCTGGTGCTTGTGCTCGTGCGCCTGCGCAACATTAGCTCTCCCCTCTATAACGTCTTGAGCAAAAGTAGCACATGTGATTGGAGGAGCAGGTTTTGTATATCGAGCCCGTGTTGCAGCATTCCGATGCCAGGCCTCGGCTTTCTTGGTGCGCTCGTCAAGGGTAAGCTGTGAAATTTCAATTTCCCCTTCCTGTAGAAAATAGCATGTGTGCATTTCAATGTCTTGACTAATTATTTAGCATGACATATGAAAGAAAACACTTAAGGAGAATGTTTCGCTAAGTTTAAAAAGTTCATGTACGAGTAAATAAGTAAGATTTAGAACAAATAATTTCTTTAACTGGTGAAAGTTAGAAATAAGTATATTCCTTGTATTGACAGTCAGGGAAGAGACAGAAATCAGTAATTACTTTCGGGAAGAGTAGATAAATAGAGCATGTTTAGGAAGTGTTTAAAAACAATTCAAATTATAAATAGATAGAAATGAGTGGTGGTGGATAAGTGGGTAGAACTTATGGGTTCTTTGAAATGAGTGGATAAAAAATGGCTTGTATGTGTATAAACATGAGCCTATTCAAACATTTTAGGAGACAAAAAGTTACTTAAAAGTAACTATACACTTTTTAGATTTAGACAAATATGCTTGCCACCTGGCACCATCAATTTTGACCATAACAAAGTTGACAACAAGCAACATCACATCCTACCCCAAATTTAATGCTCTATACCTGTGACTGCTTTTCTTTTATAGCAGAAAGCATCTCTTCCTCTTTCTTCAGCATTTCCAACAGATCAAAAGCCTGCATACAGTTGATGGAGAGACTTGATTATATAAAAATGAAGTAGATAAAAAAACAGAAAAAGAAGCAGCAGCTGGGAAGGCGCAGAAAATGCTGAAATTTGGACCAACCTTACAGAGCACCAAGGATATGATAGCCAGCCATGCCTACAGAAACAGTAATAATAAGATTCAGCAAAAAATTCATAGAATTACAAGGGGAGGGAGTAAATAACCATACAAATGGATGAAATTTATCATCTTAAATCCTTTAAGCACACAACATGTAGCACTCTGTGCATAAATGCATAATAGTCCACTTGAGATAGTAAGTTTGTCAAAATAAGCTTGATGTGTAACAAGGATGCAATGCCACAAGGGGAAACAAGTGATGCTCAGACATCAATAAATCTGACAATCAACAAGCATTTTCCAAGTAACAAGCAACCAGTTGAGCTGCAGAAAAATTAAGTAATAGCTGCCTAGCAGAAGCCCATTCAATACATAAGTCCAAAACCATGGCTAAAAGAAACTTTTTTAAAACTGTCCCTTCACCATCATGTAAACAGCCAACACGGATTTGTTCCTTGTGTTAGAAACTAAGAATTAGGGATTAAAATTAGGGGAACATCATACAAAATATAAATAATGAGCCACAACACACTGAAAGGAGAGCCTGAAATGTAAATAAAACAACTGACCTCTCTTTCTTCTTCTCCATCATCATCAAGCTGATCATCTTCCCCTGCCTCAACTGGAGTAGATAATGCAGAGGCTCTAGTTGAACGCCCACGACGTTCCTTCCGCTCCTTTATTTCTAGCAATTTGGATTCAGCAGCTTTTTGACGTTTGAACCGAGCAATCTGGAATGGGTGATATTATTAATATCAAAATTGTATTCGGCATCATGCAGCAACAAACGGCAGAATGCAGAATGAAATACAGTTAGATATATGATCCTTGGAACTTGTAGCAATATAAATACATACCTTCTTAGCCCTCTGATCTGCAAACGATTTACCACCCGATTGTGCAGATGCTGCTAATTCATCTTCAGGAACAAGCTCCATTGCCTCACAAAATGAGATAAACTCCTAGGAGTAGGGCCAAGGGAAAACCAAGAATCCATGACATCACTAAAATTTGTAAGCAATGCTTTCACTAACAATAAGAATTGAAAAGACGCATATACAGCTTTCTTCAAACATCTTAGTGGCAAAAATTATTACCTTCAACTTGGCCTGTGAAGCCTTAAGAATTTGAATCCTGTCCTCTTGTGCAATTTTCTCCATTAACTCGCCAAGATAATAAGGCACCTGTATCAGATGTCATGAGATATAAAATAATATCATTAATCAACTATATCTACACTAGTTATGCTAACATAAATTCATCAGTTTTTCTTCAAAAGCTCGAACTCAATCCCTATTAAACAAATTGTGCAATGTATACAACTAAATGGAAGAAAAGATGATTATGAAGAGAGAAATAGCAATTCACAAGCATCATTTAGGTTGAGAAACATAATAAGATCACATCTTTAAAGATTAGAAATAGAAACACACCCTTGACATCATAAATTTACTACTCATAGTCAAAACTTTATTGACCAAATGAACTCAAACTTCTAATCGATCTCATAAGTGAAGCTTCAGTTTTTATTATCTTATATTCTATCATCATTAGACACGAATTTCAAGAAATGAATTACATTCCCAAAATGAAATCAATAAGCTATAAGCTCCTAATGAATGCAACAAAAAACTAATGCTTTTTTTCAACAAAATAAACTTTTGAATTGTAAATTCCACGTCTTCTCCCACCCATATATTCAAATTCGGATTAGTTAACTAAATCAGAGTTAAATGTTTCATTAGTCACTGAACTTATAACTAAGTCAAACTTTACTAGCTGATCTTTAAAATGCTTCCGAGTGATCATTGAACTTTAATATATTGCACTCCATTACTTACTCATCATATTTTATTAATCACTCAACTTTTAAAATGCTTTCGAGTGGTTGCTAAAATTTAATATGTTGCACTCCATCACTCACTCATCATGTTCCACTAGCTACTGAACTTATATGTCCGTCACGCTTTATCCACTGAACTTTAAAATACTCTCAAGTGGTCACTGAACTTTATACACTGAATCCAACTATTCAAAAATTAAAAATTTTAAAGTATAAAATACCATACACGAAGATGAAGCCATTCTTTCATCTTGAATTACCTTGTGATAATTCTAAAAATTATATTTTGTTAGTCTTGATTAATATTATTCACTCTAAATCGAAAATTTCACTACCTTTTTGAAATTAATTTTTTTATTTTCTTGAGTTGGGTCTACGATCTCAATCAAAGTAAAGAAATAATATCTGTATTTTGCTTTTTGACGTAAAGGAAGATTATTATTTAAATTAAGATTAATGTCAATTTGAAGCTAGTATTCTTCTATCCCCTTGAACATAGCTTTTGATAACTAGAAAAATTAAATTTTCTTGACTAATATCAATGATCGTCTTAATTGAAAGTCTCGTTATATATTCGATATTTTATTTTTATTTCTTTTATCTAGGTCGAATCTCATATAAAATCAACTTTACTAGAAAATGTTACGTAATTCAGTGACCATTCGGAACACATTTTAAAGTTAAGTGACTTATGTAACATGATGAGTTAGTGATAAAGTGCAACATATTAAAGTTTAGAGTCATTTAACTCTAAAAACATCTCATTTCACACCAAATATCATACAAAGCAGATCATATGTTCACCAATTCTTATTTCAGAAGCTAAAAAGTGGTAAAAAGTTCATTTTAATTCTCAATTTCTGATAAACACTTGCCAGAAGATACTTGAGATTGGTAGTGCTAACATCATCCTTGGTCTCATTTGCCGAAAATAAGCCCAACTTCCCAATCATATCGTCGCATTGCCTCAACAAGTCGCAACCTTTCTTCACTGTCTCCTATAAAATACAAAAATAAAAGTTATAAACAATTCAAAATTAAACAAAGAATAATTAAAATTATAAAGAAAATTGTATAAAGAGAAAAACCTGATCGACGGATGACTCAGATGAAGCATCGTGAATTTTTCGAGCCTGTTCGAACAGAACTGGAAGCGACATCTCCTCCATCTTCAATTCACCCATAGCCGATTTCTTATAACTTTTTTAATATAAAACCCTATTTTCTAAAACCGACAAAATCAGGAAAAAAAAACCTATAAATTGAAAGGTGAAATCAATAACTGAACCAAGAGAGATTCTGGATGAGTGAATCTGTTCAAAAAGCGTATGTAAGCTTGCTTGGTACGCGGTACAGTAAATAGCGGGATGAAATTGTGTTTGATAACTTGGAGGATCAGTTATTGTCCGAGCGGATTCTGGATCATATTGTTGAACGGTGACATGAAATTCTAGAATGGCCTAGCCAAAGTGTTGTCAACTATAACACCTGTACTGTGGTGAGCCCAATATATTTGGGCTAAGATAAGTTCTGGACTGGACATTTGAGCCCACAAGCAATGTGTAATTTGTCCAGTACCTATCGAGTTTTAGGGTCCGTTTAACAATTTTTTTGAAAAATTAAAAACTGTTTTTGAAAGTACTTTATCTTAAAAGAACTTTTATATACTGATCTAAAATGGCTTTTTCAAGAAGATATGCAAAAAATAGAAGTAAAAGCAAAAATTCCGTCAAACAATCTCTTAGTACTTGTTTGAAAAAGCTTAAAAAGCAGAAACCCACTAATGATCAGTTGGTTGAACCAATGACTCGGTGATTTGATGGCATGTGCGAATCAACGATCGTTTCGAGTATGATAACCATGTTCTAAATCAACCAAATTATTATATAATTCAATATTAAGATAAAGAGAATGAAAAACAAATAATACTTTATGGGTTTACTTTAAATCCAACCCAAAGGTGGGGATCCCTCCTAGTCACCAATTCCTGATTCCAAGGGCAGATCTTGCCACTAAAAATAGTACCTGGCCAATTTGTACAGCTTTTTCTCAACAAAATTCCTCCTTTACAGGTATGAGAAAAGGGGGTGTAGTTTTATGGATAAAGTCGTTTGTACGCAAGGTATACGTACACCTGTCTCATATGAATAGTGTGCGCGGATATTTTATTGTGTGTGGAACCCCCCTCCATGTGAGGGAAGTGTAAAAGATTGTGTGAATGATAATTTACATGTAGCATGATTGTAGTTTTATATATTAGAAGTCCACCAATAATCAAGAAAATCCTCTAGATTCTGATCACCGTGGAACCCTGTACCATGAAGAATTTGTGGCCAAATCATGATTTTGCTGATTAACCCAAAGTCCTTGATTGCATTTCTTGGTCTCTGCACTAAATGCACCTCAGAAACTTAACATCCCCTGAACCATTAACAGGTGATTAATTATTTAAATATTAGACACAATTAAGAATTTTTTAGACTCTTCTTAGTGTCAAATGATATCACTTAACAAGTATATAATATCTCTCACATCAAAAAATCTTTCAAGATCTTTAAACGATGACCGACTTGTATGCGTAGAAATTTATAAAGTGGCTTATGGTGTCGCTTTGGATGCATATCATAATAAGTATAATTAGTTAAATATCAACTATTGAATAATTAGCTGCTTGAGATTAATGTCTTACATGATATTATATTGAGAAGTCGCTGGTGAACCCCCACGACTATGGTACGTCGTCAAGTTGTCACTTCTACTTCGCATTGAAGTGATCATTGTTGATGGCATATTACAAATGAGATCGGTGGAAAATGACAACTTTGGGTTGGCAATGTCACGGATATGACTCATTTTAGCAACTTATTAGGAGATTTTACTATAATGCTCTCAGTGTGAACTTTTATCTCACAATTACATGACATGTGTTGGTACAATGACATTGATGCTGTTTTCCATGTCAGTTTTGTTCTCTTCATCAGTTTGGTGCCCTAAAAAATTCACAATTTTTTTTCATCATTTGGTGCCCGAAAAATTTAGAAAATGACCCACAAATGGTCCTTCCTAAATTATTAGGGTAGGTAACATATATGTCATAAAACCTCAGTCTAATTTAATGACTAAACTATTTAGCTTTTTGCTTCTCACAAGAAACTAGTAATTTCTAAGAATTATTGAGTGGTTGATTAAATAAAGTTGCTTTCCTTTTCAAATGATACGTATATTATCACACGACGTGACAATTGACCCGACTTGATCCACGCACATGCAAAGATACATAAATGTCAAAAAGGGTCAATTCATGAGCCCTTCTCGACTTATAGCCGAGATTAGAGGCTAATATATCAAGCCAAGCCAGGCCCAGCTCGACTCGAGGCCTCCCACATTGATACCACTGCGAGGTTGTACCTCCAAGCCACCCTGGAAATTTTGTATACAATAATATATGAAATGGTGGATGCCTGATGGAGATATGACTGGTAGCGTTTATTCTTTGGAATTATAATATTTTCTTTGTATCAATTGGAGACAAAATCACCCGGAATCTAGCTTTTTTGCTGCTTGTTTTCAGAACCATAATCGAATAAGAAAATGAGTGAAAAAGTTGTTAAGGAAAGGGTGTAAAGTGGGGTCAACCTTCACAGAAAACCAGGGTAGAACAATTTTCTTTGAGTTTTTCTGCTTCTAGTTACAGCTGCACAATCTTTCTTTCTTTTTAACTGATTTAGCAGTATTCACACATGTAAAGTCATGCTTTCGGCATTCTCATAACGATGAATATCAAGATAGTTTCAAGAATTCACAGATGAAACCAGTTTCTGAAGTTGGGTTTTGCTGCTGCTGAGCCACGTTGCCCCACCCCTACCCATCCCATTGGAAAAATTTGTTGCTTTAAGCTACTTGTTTTAGCTAAAGTTCATTGAGTTTGTTCTGGGTTCTGTTGGTAATGGGAGATTGAAGAATAATTTTGAGAGAATTTACTGGATTGGCTTGGCTTGGCTAAGTTCATGTAAGTTTCTATCTACCCAGAATTTTTGAATTTACAAATTTTGGTTTCATTTCTAGAAATTTTTTACTGTATGCCTTTCTTTTGGTTTTTCTAAATTTTAAAAGTTATAATTATTGTTAATTATTGCACTTGATGACATAAACATAGTTGGTTTTGATCTTTTCCCTAATTTTGACCACATGGATTTTATATTTCTTTGGCTAGTGTGATTTTGCATAGTTTTCAATTGAAGTTGAATTGGTTCTAATTCGTGAATCTATTTGAAGAATATGTGATATTGAATGTGTAAAGGTAGATTATAACTTCCAATTTCTGTGAAATTGTTCAGCAATCAGTGATCTTATAATAATTGATCAATGGATAAAAAGTGGGTCTCAGGTTTGATTTTCGCTATATCTGAGGAGAATAGAGAATATCCAACGTTTTTGGCAATTGCATTTTTTGCCCTCAAACATCAGATAAAATTTATTCAAAGAATAGTCGACATTTCAAAAGTAAATCTAGATTCTAACTGGCAATTTCTATGTGATATTGTTCAGAAATAAGTGATCCTATAATTGAGTGGAGTAAAAGGGGGTCTCTGGTTCGTTTTTGGCTGTGTTCAAGTATAATATAGTTTGTAAGCTGTCTTTTTGGCATTTCTTGTGCATTTATACTGTTTTTTATTGCAGTTAAATTGGTGCTAATTCATGAATAATTTCTCCATGATATCGTCAGTGGTCTTATAATTGAGAAATGGATGCAAAGGGGGTCTCAGGTTCTTTTGTTGTTATATCCGAGGAGAATAGTGATAGCTTGTATTCGATGTTTTTTGGCGTTTCCTGTGCATTTTTTGCGCTCAGACTCTTGCCAGAGCCTGATATGTGTGATAATAAATGGTCTGAAATAAGAAATAGGATGCTTCAAGGGAGTGCGCACCTCTTGGGACTTCTGGCGTGGAGAGTTCGGAGGGAAGAAGTCGAGTCTGGGAAGTCTAAGCTTCTCCACAAGCTCGAGGCTGCAAAAAAGGAGATTGAAGAATTGAAGAAAATACGAAGCGAAGATGCAAAAGCTAATGAGAAAGTTGTCAGCATATTTGCTGCCCAAGAACAGACTTGGTTCAATGAGAGAAAGAAACTTAGACAGCAAATTGGTGCTCTTGTGAATGAATTGAGAGTACTTGAGATGGAGAAGGATAAAACTATTTCAGAATTAAATGGGAAATTGCAAGAGAACGAAGTTTTAATGCAGCCGAAGGATAAATCTGTTGAGGAAGAGGAGACTAGGAGACGTGAATTAGAGGAAAATCTGAAGAAGGCCGAAAACCTGGTGGAGGAATTGAGAGAAGCTGTCAAGCGTGAAGCTCAAAGACACTCCAATGAGATCTCAAAGCACAAAACTGCATTTATTGAGCTCGTATCAAACCAGCGACAGATTGAAGCGGAGATGGGACGGGCTCTTAGGCAAGTCGAAGTAGTGAAACAAGAGCTTGATTCAGTACTCGAGCAGAAGGAGAAGTCAATTTTGATGACCCAAAAATTATCCTTGGAGCTTGTAAAATTGCGAAAGGATTTGGAACAGAAAGACCAGATTTTATCAGCTATGCTTAGGAAGTCCAAATTGGATACAGCCGAGAAACAAATGCTTTTAGATGAACTAAAATTATTGAAATCCAAAAGAAAGCAACTTGAGCTAGAAACAGCAAGGTGGAAGGAAGTTTCTGAGTCCAGACATGAAAGAAATTCATTAAGAAATATGTTGTCTAAGCATGTAAATTCGAAGGCAGATATACATTCAGGTGGCAAAGGGGTACATTCAAAAGCAATAATGCTACTGGACATTGGAAAACCCCGGTCAGAGAAAACTGACTTTCTTTCCGAGTACAACCAGCCTAAATTTAGGAAATGGCCAGAAGCATTTTCTCCTCTATCTGACCCGCACTCATCTGATGGAAGTGAGGAACAGAGTAAGATCCTATTCTTGATGTTCATACTCAAATTGACACACACTGATGGGGTCAATGGGCGATCATTGGCGACCACCATTGCACTTTGGAGGGGTGCCCGTCTAAGGTCGGCCCATATAGTTGAGCCCACGTCATAATTTATGACGCACAATCACACATAATTTTTGCTTAAGCAAAAGATAAAGATGTCAAATCTGATTAAACATTCTGATTTTATCAATCGTCTCAATTCATCAAAATCAAGAAGATACAAAATTGTCTCTTTTATTTTAATTTAAAAGTGGATTCCATTATTGATAATTTTTGCCTTAAATTTGCAATTTGTAGAGTTCACAACTGATATTCAGCACTTGGAAAATTGGGTCCAATCCGAGGCTGAAAAATGCAAGATTGCAAGTGAAGAGAGACATCATATTGAAATGGATGCTTTTGCTGAACAATTGAGACTCAAAGACGAAAAAATAGAAGCTTTACGTTGGCATTTGTTGAGCATGGAACTGGAATCAAAGAGGTTTCAGTCGCATGTTGACGGGCTTGATCACGAGCTAGCTCGGCTCAGGCAAGATAATCTGAAGTTGGAAGCTCGATTGCTGAACCGAGAAGCAGAATTACATTCTCTGAAAGAAAAGTTGGCATTGTTGTCAAACTCACCAGATTTTCAGAAAACTAACTCCAACTCATCTCTGCACAAGATAGCTGTATCCCGTGATACTGTTTGGTCAAAAGTTAAGATCATAAAAAGAAAACCCCGGAAAAAAGAGCAAGAAACGAAGATGAAACCCAAGGCAATATTGCAAGCCGTGGCAATTGAGGAGGAAAATGAAACCCCGGAAAATAGGCATCTCAAGGATATCGTTTTGACACTTGAATCTCCGCAGAAGGAAATAAAAGAAGCGAAATTTGCTGCCTTTTCTGAGGATATTGTGAGTGCTGAAACATCAACTTCAATAGGCCAGGGTATAAGTACCAAAACTAATCCTTCATGGAAGGTGGATCTTCACGCTCTTGGTGTCTCATACAAAATCAAAAGGCTGAAGCAGCAATTACTCATGCTTGAGAGGTTAACAGGAAATCAAGAAAGTTGTGAAAAAGGTGAAAGCGACAATGATGGACAATTTGGGATAAAGGGATTTTATGCACTTATGTCATTCTTGAATAAACAAGTCGATCGATATCAATCCCTTCAGGGAAAAACCGATGATATTTGCAAACGAATGGTATGCTCCAATCCTAGTATTTCCTTCTCTCGTTCAATAAGTTGTCACTTTTTTTTGCTTCTTCGTGTTTGTTGACATGTTTAAGAATTTCATTTGCATGTTCGATAGGGAGGATTGGATAATACTGAACAATATTAAAAATGTATAAGAAAATAAAATCATATTTTTATACTATTGAGTTTATCCAATATTGCATACCAAACATACACTAAAGGATTCTGTTCTAAGCATAACTCAAATGAATTGCAGCAGGAGAATGCCCTGGATTTCAGCAGTGGAAGTTCCAAAATTGCTAGAACTGAGGAAACCAAAAGGCTGGAGCACTTTCTTGAAGAAACCTTTCAGCTGCAGCGATATATTGTTTCGACAGGGCAGAAACTAATGGAAGTCCAAACTAAGATTGCTTCTGACTTTAAAGGGGATGTAGAGGAAACCGAAAAGCCTGCTAGTTTTGACATGAAGCGATTCGCTGATACTATTAGAACTCTTTTCAGAGAAGTACAGAGAGGACTTGAAGTCCGAATATCTCGACTCATTGGGGATCTTGAGGGAACCCTCGCATGTGATAGTATCGTCCATTTCCAAAAATAGCAGCAAACTGTGAATAGTGAAAGGAAGAGGCCAATACAAAGGTTCTTGCCTTGCCATTTTTCTAATCCATCGTGGAACTTTTATAGTAAATATGTATAGCAAATAAGCTGTTCTAATGTCTTAAATTATTCATCTAACTATAGTGCTTAAAGTGAGGAAAAAATACATAGATGATTTAGAAACAATGGAGCCGAGCCCTTTCTTTTGGAACATTTATGCTTTGGTTCTTTCGATATCCCATATTGCACGTGGAGTCGTATTCTTGAATTTATAAGCACATTGAGCAGTCTCGTTTTAAAAGTGATTTCTGTTAACATTTTGTCGTATGAAGTAGGAATCGAGGATCTGATTTATAAGTTGTAAGGAAATATTATACAAATCTTATCCAACTTACCGGTGATAATCAATTTTATTGGGCATAAAGGTACATGTAAAGGAAGACGTGTTCTACATGTTTGATGCAAAAAATTCAACATGACTAAATATGATTAAGTAAGATCGATATATAAAATAAAATTTATTAGCTGTCTTGTCTAAATCAGCATACCAAACATGCTGTTAGTGGACTCTAGTCTCTAGTATAAGTTTACTCGCTAGTAGGATCATAACAAGTGACCTTAAACTGGACGAGGTTGTTTCTTTTGCTTGCCTTAAATAATGCTGGAAAGGAGCAATGGTTGAGGAATAGAAACGTTCAGTGTATTATTGTTCAATCTGACATATTGAACGAGCCACAAATGCATTGATCGTTAGGAATCTCAAATATTGAATAGGTTAATAAAAAGTGCATAATGGGAAACTAAGTTGTTAAGTAGTTGAGATGTAACAAACGAGAGAAAGTTGAATACCATAGCTGGGGAAGATTATGGCTCATATTAGCTCTCTTATCTTTACTCACTTGATACATCTGCATGTGTTCCCCCTTTTCAGTACACAGCTTTAAATGGTGTAGCTACCTTATGTTGATTGCAGTGAACTTATTGACAGGGCCCATGTTTATTAATCAATTAAGCTTCATTGGACTAGTTCGAAAATTAGTCGATAGAGCTTCACACTTTATTCTATCAAACATGCTACATGTACATTTTGTTTTACATCATTTGTTATATTGTGTCACGTGTTGGTACATGATGGACAGTTTTTAAAAATAACACACTTTCTCGTCTAACACTTTTTGAATTTACACACAATGTAAACCAATATGTCATCCATAGAACGTGCACTTAGCATAGTGGAGTAGTTTTAGTTATAAATTTTATTATTTTTATTAGTGGGCACCAAAATGGTCATGTTGGTCCAAGCCATGACCTTCATCCAAGTTTGCTTCAGGCTGGGGTATGAACTTGAACTAACACGTAAAACTACAATCTGAATTGTCTTTCATGACCCGCTAGCATTTCAGACTGAACCATTACAACATATTGTCCTGTTTGGTGTAAATTAAAATTCACTAAAAAAAATTAAGTCAAAATCAATAATTAATTTGATTCATAATTTTTTAATCTACATTG